GCAGAGAAATGATTAAAGCTGAGTCATTTAGTGCAGTGTTTGAGGAATATAAATAGTATTGGTCCCTACAAGAAGTCCCTTTTCTTAGATGCCTCATAAGAGCAGAAGAAACATTTCAACATATCAGTTTACATCATTAAGATTTTCTGTTCTAACCAGAATGAAAGATTTTTTTTATTAAAGCATAAGATTGTCTAGATGCAGATAAGTGAATTCACGGACACTATCTTTTACGCAACAAGCTGAAATAGAACATTTGAGTTGTGACAGCAGGAAACCTGCAATACGCTGAAGATCCTTTTGTAACATCCTGCACTACCTCTTTTCTAAAGCTTATTTTTGTAAGTTTGGTCTAAAATATTTTCAAATGGACTGATTCGTACTCCTGCTCTTGAATTTAGGATATTTTCATCTCTGGGAACGGACATCAGCATCATGTCAGAGGCAGTAAGTAAAATTATACGTCATTGCATAGTACTAATGAAAAGTACACCTGCCTGCCTAAATATGCTAGATGACATTTATGACATAATAAGAAAGTAATAGCATACATGCCTCTGTACAATATTAGTGAAATGAATGCCTACTTGCTTAAATATGGTAGTTAATGTAAATGGCATGATATGCCACAAGCAATTCATGGCATAATATTTTATTATTTTAAGCTTAGTAGCTATAGAAATAATATGTAGACTGAATAAATGATCCAAATGATCTGTAGTATATCTCAAAACACAGATAGCATACAACATTAAATTGTGAGATATTTTTTTAATATTGCTATAAGATTTGCCCAGACTATACACAGTGAAGTATTTTTAAATTCTAAACAAATTGTAAAAAATTGTTTTAAAAGAAGTACGTATTCACTCCAGTAGCTTTAGGCATTTTGCAGAAGTTTGCCTTAAAAGTTGCCTACAGAAACACTGACACCTTAGCTCTTTTCCTGTTACTTTTATTGAAGCAGTATCTTCCCTGTCTGACAGTCTTTAATGTAAACACACAGGCATTTCTACATTGCTAGACTGAAAATGGTATTAAACTCAAAACCAAAAATGTAATATATTGCAGCTTACCAGTCACTATATGTGGTGACTGCATCGGTTGTTTTTTCTTTGTTTTTACCCCTCTTTTTTCACCTGGTGTTCTTGCCAGTAACACACCTCCTTTATTAGTGAGACACCACTGTGGAGGAATGAGCCAGGACAAAGCAGGCAGCAGCGTTGTCAGTCTGGGGGGGTGTTAGTAATAAATGTATTAGCAGATTTGAGTGCAATAACACATTGAAGATACATTTCAGCTCAAACTTTTATCAGTTACAGCAAGCAGTTCTTTCCTTTTGGGATAAAGGTTTTACATGTATAAATGTATAATTAAAAGATGACCAATGCCAGTGGTAAATTAATGGTCTTATCCATGTAAACTGATACATTCTGCTGGAGCTTGAGCTTCTGAAACACAGCAGACTAGCTTGCTGAATCAGCAGATGAAAGTAGAAGAAAGGAAGCCAAAAAAGGAAAATAATACTATAGCAATCACATTTAAGATTTTGTAAGCTGCAATATAATAAATGTTTACTTTTGGAATTTAATACTGCTTGAAGCCTGACATTAAAGTTTGTTTGTGATCTTTGAGAATTAATTACTCCACAGTGCATGCAGTGTGAGAGGCCAGGGATAGCATTTTAGAATTCCCTTACTGCTTGTTCAGGATACGTAATCTATCTATAGCCTAGGCATAGCTGCACCTTAAGTGTGTTGTTTTTAACAAACATTCATGATGTATGATCAGGGCATTTTTTCAGCAGGAACGTGGGAGAACGCAATTCTGGCACTTCCAGCATTGACTGGAATGTGGGTAGGGAGTGGAACCAAGGGATGGTGCTCAGAGGTGGGTTGTGGACAGAGATAAGGGGTGACTCAGAAAGGGGGGAGTACCTGCACCTATTCTCTGTGAAAAAAAGCCCTGTATATAATTATTCTCTGAAGAGGCAGCTACTCAAAATGAATAAATCTCTATTTAAATAGAGATCCATCCAAACAATGTCTTTTTAAATAATGGGTGATGAGGATAGGCTGTGATTAATATGCAGTCCTATTAGTTACCGGTAGTCCTCACTGTGTATTTTCATCTGACTACACAGTTAAATTAATGATAAGGGATTACTCACCAATGTCTCTTTGGGACATTACTTATTTCTATGATCAAATTCAGAAACAGAAATTCTGAATCTCAAAAAAAAAAAAAGAAAAAGAAAAAGTAAAACTACATTTGAGCTATTTTTTTACAGAAATGTTTTTCATGATTTAATGAAGGTAAGGCAAAAGCTTTAACTTTTAAAAAAATACATACAATTGTAAGGTTATACAATTATTCTCTTATGAAGTCATTGACACACCTTAAATGATAAATGCTTTTTAAAACTCCATTAAATATGCTTCTAGGATGATTCAGTCTTCTAAGTATGAATATAAAGTGTCTCACTTTAAGGATTCCCCGCAATGATATTCTTGAATATGTGCCAATGGCAGTGACTGTGCTGACTTTCTGTGTTATCTCTTTGAGCTGTAGTCAATCTGACCTGAGAACCCTGTGGTTAGTATGGTATGGCAGCTGAAAGGAAACCCAAAATAAGGTTTTTTTTACTGGCATCAATACCAATCTGAAACTGTGTTTCTAGGAGTGCTCAGTATTAAGCAACTCCAGGCGAAAGTGATTTCACAAGACAAATTAAATTTTATGTAAACAGAGCCGCTATAATCATCAGTCTTCAAGATGCAGAAAGAGTAGATCAAAGACATCAGAGGACATGTTGTAGCTGGGCTGGGGGGTGGTCGCTCTCTTGGAGTCATAAGGCCATCTGATCAGCCAGCTGATCACACTGCATGCAAGAACTAGGTAGCAGAGCACAGAAGTTTAACAGGTTCCAGACCTTAGACAGCTTTAATGGAAATATTATTATATATCATTTTTCTAATAATCTCTGCACTTTTGTCAACAGCTTTCAACCACAGTGACCTGCCGCCTGCAACTCTTTCCTTGTTCCTAGAAACCATTTGGTAGAAATTAATTTAGCAGTGCCAGCTAAAAGGCAATTTTATTAGATTTTAATGTAATTGTGATCATTTGGTCATTCAGAACTAGGAAATGACAGATGTCTGGAAAATTGCTGTTTTAAAGCTGAGGGAAACTGCCAAGCATGTGGCCAATACACAGCAGATCTCCCCACCTATTCTATGTATTGAGGTAAAAAACCTTCTGTATGCAGCTAACCCCTGCCCCTCCCCCCTCACCCTTATATTTACCTGAGCTCGATCTCGATCCAGCGCTGTGCACAAGAGCTGCTGCTCTCTATGCTCTCTCTCCTTACTGGTCAAATTGGTTCCTGCTGCTGTCAATCACAGCCAGTGAGGAAGGAGTGGGGGCAGGGGATGAGCTGTGCTCTGTGTGTCAATGGATGCACAGGGTACAGCCCAGGATCAATCCTGAAAGTGTGCCCCCATAGTAGGTGTCTTGCTATGGGGCACTCGGCAGGGAGGTGGAGTCAGGAGCACCAACAGGGGACCCAAGAGGAGGAGAATCCAGGCTGCTCTGTGAAAACCCCTCTTCTCACAGGACACAGAGGCAGTATAAGTATAATATGTTCATTATTTTTAAGAAAAATAGGGGGGGGGGGGGGAGTCCACACTAACATTATATGAGGACTCTTTTTCTTTCTTTTTTCTTTTAATTGCCCCTTTTGGTCTCCTGCTGCCAGTGCCCAGGCCTCTTGCACCCCGTACCTGTTTGTGGGTATCTCCTTAACTAACCAGCTGATAAGGAGATACTTGTATTGCATCCATAGACACACACAGCAAACCACACTCCCTTTTCCCTTTCTACACCTCCCAGCAATTTGACTGAAGGCAGCAGGATACTAAGGCTCTGCTGCCCTCAGGACCCCCCTGCTACACCTGGAAGATCTTATTGAAGTGGACCTTCACTTGCACTAAAACACTTAGCAACACGTTACTCCTCTTCTTCCCTATTACACATTTGCAGTTTTGTTGGAGGAGGAGGTGCTCACCCCCATCTACTCATTGGTAACCTAGGTGAGGCTGATGAAATTTTACTGATACCAGCAGGATCCCAACACTCTGGTGCCCTCAGGACCCCCTGCTATACCTGGAAGATCCTATTGAAGTGAATCTTCACTCGCACTAAACACTTATTATCACTCTACTCCTCTTCTTCCCTGCTGCACATTTGCAGTTTTTTTGGAGGGGGAGGTGCTCACCCCCATTTACTGATTGGTAGCCTAGGTGAAGCTGATGAAATTTGACTGATAGCAGCAGGACCCCCTGCTATACCTGGAAGATCCTATTGAAGTAAATCTTCACTCGCACTAAACACTTAACATCACTCTACTCCTCTTCTTCCCTGGTACACATTTGCAGTTTTTTTTAAGGGGGAGGTACTCGCTCCCATTTACTCATTGGTCACCTAGGTGAGGATGATGAAGCCCTATGTTTGCCCACTCACAATCTCCTGGGTTACATATCACACCTCCCGAGAGGCTTCAGGACAGTCTCTCTTGGTCCTTTGATCTGGAGCATGTGCAAGGGAATACCGGGTGTACATGATTAGGTAGTGACAAAATCTCTCACGGCTCTTGATTTCATGGACTGGTAAGTGTGTTTTTTTAAACGTCAGTCACTGTAGTACTTATTGATAGCCTAGTAAGGTTCCTCTTTAAATGACATATTTATTTATTTTTATGATATTTCTCACTTTCTTTTTGCAGAATACAGTTATTGCTCTGATGATTATGAGTACACCAAATTTGACAACCTCTTCTAAGATCCTACCACAATCGTCTGGATCTTCTGCCAGCCTTGGGATTGCCATCTTATCAATTGCTTTCATTATTGGATTTCCAGGCAATGCCTTTGTCATCTGGACGATATTAACACGAATGAAAAAAACGTACAGTAACCTGTCTACTGATTTTGCACTTGGCTATGGCAGACATCATGCTCATACTCACAGCACCATTTTTTCTCCATCTACTAACCACTGGAAGCTGGGTATTTGGACATGTCATTTGTAAGATGTGTCATTATGTTAGCTGTTTGAGTATGTATGCCAGCATCTTTCTGATTACCTTTATGAGCATGGACCGTTTTTTAGCTGTAGCATTTCCCTTCACTTCTCAAAAGGTGAGAACAAAACCAGTTGTCAGGAGCATTGTGTCTGCAATCTGGCTGCTTGCAGCTTTGATGTCCATTCCCATGTTATTTTACCGTGATGTTAAAAATGTATTTGGCCGTACTCTTTGCATACCATTCCATGGTTCAAAAAATGACACTTCCACTGCTAAACATATTATTTTTCAGTATATGTTTGAAACTATAACAGGCTTCGCCATCCCATTCACAATCATTCTGTACTGCTATGCTTTCATTGGACTAAGGCTACGTAGTGCCAAATTTCAGACCAAGAATAAAACAAGTCGTCTGGTAATCATGATTATAGTGACATTTGCACTCTTCTGGCTTCCATATCAGTTAGTGAATATGATACAGGTATCAGGGGAGTTGTTCTCATCCGGAACTCTAAGAAAAGCAGCTCAAGTTGCCAGGCCTAATGCCACAGCTCTTGCCTTTCTCAGTAGCAGTGCTAATCCTATTTTGTACGTGTTTGCTGGTGGGAATTTCATTAGAAGTGCTGGGGTGGGATTTATGGCCAAGCTCTTTGAAGGCACTCATTCTGAGACCTCCAGTTTCCGTAAAATCTCCCAGGTCTTTCGGCAAAGAAGCCATACTGAATCTGTTGAGTTAGAAAAATGCAAAGAGCATGTAGAGCAGTCGAAATTATTTACAACCAATCAAAGTGATTGACAGTATGATGATGAAAAAAACATGGAATTTTCTGTTTGAGATACATTTCAAACTTTGCTTTAAATACAGCAAGGATAATGGGATGCTGCATCATGGATTGCTACAAAACAATTAAGAGGAGCCTTTTTGGGAGCCAAGATATTATTTTATAACAATTCCTAACATGCTGCTTATATCAAACAAACAAAACTGAATTTAATGACCTGGAAAATTGCACAGAACATACAAAGCAGTGTGAAACATTTTCATTTTCAATCCATTCACAATAACAGTATGATGCTTAAAAACATTAAATGTGAGTGATGGACCTTGTAAACTTTGTTTATAACTAGTAAAAGGTAATACTTTGTTATGGATGATGTTAAGAAAAAAATATTTATCACACTGCAATTCTACAAAATTATAAAAGAGCGGGAAGATTTATTCTCAAATAGGGCATTTTTGTATATATGTGTGTGTGTGTGTGTGTGGTGGTTGGGGGGAGAGGTAACAGGGGTCTTTTTTAATTATATACTATAAACTGTTGTTTTCAAAGCATGGTCAGATTTTGCATTAGAAATAATAATATATGTATACTCTCTTATTTTCTTGTAACTATATGGAAAAATAAAGAATGTTTGAATGTATAGCAGATAATAATTACGGTATTTGTTGATTTTTAAAACACTAATGCTAACCTGATTTAAAATCATCTGCCATTAACCTGTAAGTGAACATGAAATAAAAGACAAAAAAACCTTAAAAAAATCTCCAGCAGCCAAAAAAAAAAGTGTATGTGGAACTTGGAATCTGGATAGATTGCTAGTAACATGTTACATAATCTATATGTGGTTATAAAATGTAATTATATTTTTACCCCATGTGATAAGAACAGCAAAGATCAGATGGAGACACTTGAACAATATGTTCCTGATTATAATGTCACAGGTGTGCTCACGTGAATTTGAAACAATTAGGCGTCATGCACACTTGAGCTCAAAAATGCTTGTTTTACTGGCGTTTGGCTGTTTTTTATCTGTCTATAAACTCCCCTGCATGTAAAACTATGTGTCCATGCACACATAGGCATTTACAGGAGTTTAGACAGGGGCATTTAGAGGCAAAAAAGCCCAAAAACATCACTTGTGCATTCAGGAGAGGAGCGGTTTGGTTGCAAAAGCACTGGACGTGCCTAAGTACACCTAAATGCACCTAAGCTCTAGGCGTATGTAGCGTTTTCTTTTTTTTTTTTTTCAATGGCCAGAATAAATTAATATTCTGTCCAAATAAATACATAAATAAATAAATAAATGTCCATGTGCTTGATGCGCCTAAATGTGCCTAAAAGCATTTGCAAAAACACAGCATAAGCGTGTTTTTGAAGCTGCTTTTCTCCCACCAGGAGAAAATCATTTAGAAGGGCCCCAGTGTGCATGAAGCCTTAGACTACTATAATTGATATTTGAAAGCACACATTTCCAAGGCAATATCCCTATATGTATTACTACTAAGAATAACAGAATAAAGCATGGAAGTTGAACAGAATGACTTTCTCTTACAGATATACTGTATATTACGTAATTTCTCAGCTGCTCCAAATTATCTCTCCTAAGAGAGAACTAGCCCCAGTCTTGGGTCATGTCATCCATAATATACCTACACCCTTTGCTGATTCATAAATACATATTCTTTGATGTTATTGTGTAGCTACCTTAAAAATCACTGCATTCTGCCACTTTTGATACCTTGATTATGAGTGGTCTTTTTGCATGTTGTCTGTCAACAGTCTGTCCTGACCTCATGCCTGGCTCTGACTTCACTTACCTGCTGCTTACTCTGACCTTTGGTCTGGTGGTCTGCTAGTCTGGTTCCCAACTGCGTCTTCTTGCTGCATCCCCCGATAGCTGAACTATATTCAATTATGTTCTTTTGCTCTGACTCCGCACATGGTTCTTTGTTGCTTCCTTGTCAACTTTCACCAATGGGTCAGTCCTGAACCCCAAAATTTAGTAGCCGCCATGCAGGCATGTTATACTTCTCTTTGTGGATAGGTAAAGATGAGGTCCAGTCATTTATTATGATTCTTATTAAAATCTACATCTACTGCTGGCGACAAAGGCGATTTTCAATGACCACTTGCTGAGACCTTGGATCCTGATGATGTCCCCCCTTTCAAACATTCTGCAAAGCCGGTCTCTTTGGGTCATGTCCTATGCCTATGGCCACCACTCATTTATTGAGTTCACTACCAACCCATTTCGACAATTGACTAAAAGACTTGCTATGACTTTTTAACCAGTATCAGATCTGGTGAGCTGTAGCCAGGTATGTTACAGTCCGATGAAGTTAAGTGTGCTTACCTCAGTTCATTGCATGCGGGGGGGGGAAAGTTTGAAAAAGTTTAATTTGACTATATCATCTCCTGATCTTTTTGGCAAAGTTTTGAAAGGTTCTAAACAATCCCAGCAGAGCCTACTCTGCTGCTTTACAAATTCTGCATGCATGTGATGGATGCACCCACCACAGCATCCTCCATTTGCAGTTCATTCTTGCAATCATATCAGCGCCTGCCTCTGCAACTGGAAGACAACCCACCATGCAGGGAGGAGGACACTGCATGTTAAGTAATCAGCCTAAGGCCCCTTTCACACAAGCGGTCCGATCGGTTTCAGGCAGACCCGATTGAACCCTCCATTCTCCTCTATGGAATGGTGGATGTAAACGGAACTGTGTCCGTTTACAACCGCCTACCTCCAATCCGTTACGATCTAGCAAAAACAAAATGGAAGGGAATCTGTTCCCCTCCATCTGGCTGGATCGGAGGGAAGTCGGGTGTAAACGGACCTTTGACTGCCCATAGAGCAGATAGGACTATGTCCCTGACCACTCTTAATAAGCGGACATGGACCTGACATCTGGCCACTCTGCTCAGCTCAGCAGGGGATCAGCATTCAAATCTCCTGCTGATAAAAGCCAGATCCAGCCTGTGTGAAAGGGGCCAAAATATGTTGGAACATTACAGTGGTTAGGAAAGTGCAGTAGTGCCACTGATCGCAACCCATTCAAATGAAAAGGTTAATTAAAAGGGTGCTGCAATGACTCTTGACTGATCACAGTGTACAACATGGATAAAATATGTTACCTGCACACCAACTATTGGTGAATGATTCCTTTGTATGTCTGCACTGTTTGTTGTTGTTTGTCAAGCCAAAGGAAAAGTCCCTGCTTGGTCCCAAAACAATGCTTTTCTGTGTGAGAGAAAAGAGCTTTTCACTTTGAAACAAGCTTGTCAGTATGCCGGCAGCATATTTCACCTATGAAAGTGAATGGGCCGTGCTGCAACCTTCCTGCAACCACACAGAATGCACACTGTGATGCAGGCATTTCAGCCTTAAAGCAAGCAGTGACATATCACTTCCCAGCCGCCTGTCAACTGCCCTCTGAAATTGATTCACTGCAGATCACTTTGCAGAGGAGTGGCATAGGGCTGCTGCCAGTGTAAATTAGTCTTAATTTCTGTTTCAGTGATGATGATCAACAGAACAAATAGAGAGGTGAGTTTCTCTAGTGAGACAACAAAAAAAATCTTGGCAGTAGGTCTAACCCTTCCTTGCATGTCTTCATTTACACTTTAAAAACAATATAGAGTATTTGTGATTTATTAGAGTGGCTTAGTAGTTAGCATGTCTTCCTTGCAGTACTAGAAACTATATGCATGGAGTCTGCATATTCTCCCCCATCAGGTACTCCTCTTTCCTCCCACACTCCACAAGCATGCTGGTAGGTTAAAATGGCACTAAACGATATCCTTATTCTCAAAAAAAAATCCATATACATTTACTACTTAAAGCGGAGTTCCACTCACCCTGTCAAAAAATAAAAAGTCAGCAGCTACAAAAACTGTAGCTGCTGACTTTTAAAAAACAGCCACTCACCTGTCCCTCGGTCCCACGGTGTGTCCCCCGCAGCCCATTTCACCGGCCGTCCTGTATTCCAGGAGGCCGGCATCTTCAGTATTGGCACCCGGCTGTGATAGCTTGTGGCTTCACAGCTGGGTACCCATTGCGCATGCGCGCGAGTAGAATGATCCTGTAGTCTTCTGGGACCTGTTACGTGTCCCAAAAGACTACAGGGAGGGAGGGAGGACACCTTCCGCTTCTGATCGCCTAGGCGATCGGACCAGAAGTGGGAGTGGGTACCTGTCAAATATGGGTACCCGCCCCCCAAAGGTGCCAATCCTTAATGGGGAGCGAGGGGAGCAGTCCTTAAAGCAGAACTTCCCCTTTTAGGTGGAGCTCCGCTTTAATGGGCCTGGAATCTATTTTTCAATAAATCATTTCTTACAGGGTTTTTACATCCTCTCTGCACGCCTGAACCTCTTCTTTTCCCCCCCTCACATTTGATTGTTTGGAACAAGCAGTACACGTTAGTTGTGGTCTTGTGCACTGCTCTATGCTTACTACACATCCCATAGTCCATGGTCCCTAGTACATCCTGGGAGCAAGCAAGAGAGAGTGGCTATATTCCTACATACAGAGAAAACTTGGACAACAAATGTAGCCACCCTCTAACAGGAAGTCAGATAACAGCAGAAAAAAAAGGAAGTTTGTGATTGATTTATTTATTTCAGGTACTCTGTCAATTTACACAGTGCTTTACATATATATTTATACATTCACATCAGTCCCTAACCTTCAAGGGGTGTACAATCTAAGGTCCCTAGCTTACATGCATACATACACATACTAAGACAATTTAGACAGGATCCAATTCACCTACCAGCATGTCTTTGGAGTGTGGGAGGAAACTGGAGTACCTGGAGGAAACCCACGCAGGCATAGGGAGAACATGCAAAGTCCAGGCAGGAGGTGCTGTGGCTGGGATTTGAACCAACAACCCTAGTACTTCCAGGTGGAAGTGCTAGCCATTTAGCCACTGTGCTTCCCTGCAATTTGGAAGAGGCTGAGAGCAACAAAGGTATTTTTATGAGTTAGGAATATATACTTGAGTAGAATTTTTAT